GACGTGTGCTCTTCCGATCTGCTGATTTGCTTAATTGCAATGCGCATCTTAAGCGGCCATATTTTTAGGCTAGCACCAATCCTGTTCAAGCACCGGCAAGAGATCTTGCGCGACATACTCGGTTGTTTATCTATATTATGTATATTTATGGTTTTATTGGCGTCACTGCCGTTACTGGCGATCCTGTAAAATCCTGTTTTGTGCAGCGCGGTTAGACCGATTTGAACTGTGTCGTCAAAACTGTATAAGATCTTTCTCAAACGTGATTGTGCCAATTGAGTATTACAACCTCTGTAAATATTTAGAACTTTCGCTGCCAATTTAGGGCCGATGCAGAAAGAATGTAATTAACTGTTTCCGACAGAGTACGTATAAACATAAATCGTTGTCATAGATCAATTGTAAATAGTCATAAGTACAATGATTTTACGTAAAGTCGTAACAGAAACGCTTGATACGATCAACGCCTACGTAAAATTATTGTGCATTGATCTATGTTTACGAACTCTGTTGAAAACAGTTGAGAAGTCGTCTTTCTGTGTGATCAGTCCTTATAGCGCTTCTTTCTGAGACCAACTTTATCGGCCATTTTTAAGAAGAAGAAGTCGGAACTGTGTGCATCAGATACGTCCGTTTGGTTATTTTACTCTGTGTCCTTTATTTTTCCATGGTTTTTGTCATTATATTCGCGAATTTACTTCAACTTTATATATTATTACATATATGTATATGTCAATCCATTGAAATTAGCGCGAATTTGACGAAATGTTTGCGTACGTGCGCTTTATAGACGATGATGTGTGTAGTATTGTGTCGACGGAAAAAATAAAAAAATTTGATGTAAATGATAGTCGAAAATTTGAACTAAAATATTACGTGCAATACGAAGATGGTGAATATTATAAAGCTAATGTAATATATCTTAAAGGTACGTATCGATTTAATACGTTTTAAAATATAAACACTTTTTGGGTAATTTTTTTTGTTTCCTTTTTTATTGTTAAGAAATAATCTGATATTGCATTAATAGTTATTTGGTTCTATTGTTTCTATAGAATTGAAGATTTGGTTATTTTTGTATATATAACAACTAATATTATAATTAATGATAATGTTCTGAATCAAAATTAGATAATTAATATAGACAAAAATTAGTGTATGATTGAAATAAATTGAATTGATGTTTTCTTCACAATAAAGAAAATATTCAATTTAATAATATGATATAATTTGTGATTTTATTATAAAATTGCAAATTATATCATATGAGGTCATCATCCTCATCAGCAAAACAATATGTGAATGATCGTTATAATTCTTGACTTTTTTTGTTTGTCAATTACAAAACACATCTCTGTCGTACTCAAATTGTGATTTCCTCGCTATTACATGGTATAACATTTCTATAGTTTTGAATTTAAATAATTTTTTTTCAGAAAGTATTGAAGAACTAAAGGCAATCATAAAAGCAAAGAGAACAAAATTAATTAATAAGAACTTGCTTGTTTCACAATCGTCAGATGACGATGACAGTATAGTCGAGTATGTATCAAAAGTAGATGAGCCAAAAAAGAAAAAAGAAAATAATTCTAAAAAAAGGACAATGGTAAGTTATATAATATATTATTAGTCAATATAAATCAAAGTATGTGAATTGATTTATTATTGAGAAATACAGTTGATAGATATGAAAATGTTATGAATAAATTTTAGGAGGATGTGAGCAAACAAAAATTGGAAGACGATATTTTCAGCTCCTACAATAATAGCATTTCTCAAGATGCAGGAAATCTATCAACTGTGCAAAAAAAAAATATGGCCAAAGTAATGATTTCATCGCAGGAAGATACTAGATTCAAAAAATGTT